CACACACTCACGTTGTTAGCACACACCCTCTGCCCGGCCCCGGGTCTCAGGTGCCCAAAGACATCCTTATGAGGCAGGATGTTTCAAGAGCTCAGAGATCACCTCACAGGAGCCAGTTGAGGGGCAGGCCTGACGACCTTGGGAATGCGTAAGGTTTGGGCCACCCTGCCTGCTGAGCTGACCCCGTCCCGCGACGACCAGGTATCCCGCGCTCTGCCCATGACAGCCTGGGGGGTGCTGTTCCCTCTGCCAGAGAGGCTTTGTCCCCAACTGTGACCAGCTCCCAACACCCGCACCCGCCCCCGCCCCCGCCCTTGGTCTGGGTTTAAAACCGTTTCTTGGGAAAAGGTTTCCAAGCGCCCCCCACATACGCTCACACATATTCCCGAAGCATCTGTCCTTCTCCCTCACGGGCCCTTGCTCACCTATGATTCCTTTCATTGTCTCTCTCTCCTACTAGAGTGTCGGGACCTCGCCCATGCTGCCGGCGCCCAGCACAATGCCTGGAACCCGGGTGCTCCGTAAACACGTGGCAACCGACTGACCGGGTACCTGCCCCGAGACGCAGAACCGGGAAGAATAATCCAGGGCATATAATCTAGTGGCGGATCCGTGGCACGCGTGCCCCGAAGTGTGACGCAAAGATGAGTACAGGGCGGCGCACAGGGAGCCGACTGGCGCCGAGGCGCCCCCAGCGGGCGGCGGAACACACGTGGGTAGATCCGCTCGGTGAAGGGGCCGCCGACACTCCTGCCGGAGGGTCTGGGTGGGTTGCATCCGATCGCCAGTGCGCAGGCGCCACAGGCCTCGGAGCAGAGGCCACCCCGCCGGGCTCCGCGTTTTTTCTTCAGTTCCGCGCGACAGCAGGGCCCCGTCGCCGGGCGGCGCTGCGGTGCTTTGTGATTTCCCGCCTGCCAAAGAGAGACAAGGCCTCACGGCTGCTGATCCTTACGACGTGTCAGAAGATGCGAGTTAAGTAAGAACCCGCTTTCCCCGCTTGCTGAAAGTTAATGACGTTAACGCGTTGCCAGAGAAAGTAAAGGGGTTGTTCCAGCCTCTGGGCTTGCGGGTTATGATTTTTAATGCTTTTCAAATGCGAAAGGACCTCAAGCGAGTGTCGCGCCCGCGTGCTAGAGATGCGTGTCTTTCCCACGGCGGCTGGCACCCGCTCCCGCGCAGCCACGGCCCTGGCCAAGTCGCTGGTGTCGCGTTTTAAATCTCGGGCCGCTGCCCTAAGCCAACTGACCCTATTCTAAGGTCCGCAGCGGTGGTGGCCCCAAGTCTGCATTCAGTCCAGTGCCCTGGCGTGTCTCCCTAGTGCCCCAAGGCCAAGGGTGCCCCATGAGCTCAAAGTTTCCCCTGCTCCCCACCCCTCCCGTGATGTCTGTCCCCTGACCTTCATACTTTCTTCCTTTTGTCAAGTGGTGGTCAATTTGTCAAGTATAGACGAGCAGACAGACCAGATGGTATGTTCTCCCACAGGTTCAGGGCACGGTGGGTGCCAAGGAGGGGCAGTGCCGGGGGCTCCAAAGGCCGCCCCCGCCCCCAGCGCAGGAACACGCAGATTCTCAGTGGAGTCGAGGCAGCTGTGAACACCAGAGCACCCCTGGGCCCCACCTGGAGGCCTGGAGAAGAACAGACCAGCACGGGCACCCAGGGAGCCCTCTCCTGCCCGGCACAGGAGCCTAAGTCTGCACACTTTACTCCTCAGTCCTGCGGGTCCTGGGTCTGGCCTGGCAGGTGCACTCAAAACCCTCCGGGAAGGGAAGGAGGCTGGGGATGCGTGGAGAGACCTCCAGGCCCACGATGCAGGCGTCAGGCTGCACCCTTGAGAGCTTGAGGGTGACTGACCTTCAACCCGCCCCAATCCACTTCTGCTCATCTGATAACCCAGAAGCCACAGAGGAAAACAGGAGCTTACAAGTTGCTGGGGGGGTTTGTAAATTGCTCCAGTACTCTTCAGAGAGTCATGTGGCCAGCTCACCTGGAAATTCCAGCCACTTCACGCCGGTATGTATATTCTGGGCAAATTCTGCATGTGAGCCTAGAAACGTGTGTGAGGCTGTTCGTTTATTCATTAATCTCGATACAGATGTGCTGAGCACCTAGCATATCGCACGCTTCTAGGAGCTCAAAACCGAGCGTGAACAAAACACGAAAGTCTCCACCCTCACGGAGTGTATATACAGCATTGTTTAAATGGCCAAAACCTGAAAACAATTTTAAAATATGTCGTTAGGAGAACGGATGAACACTGAACTGAATACACAGGCGCGGACGTGGCTATGCCGTGGGACCGGTGTTGGGTGTGTAAGAAAGAAGCTTGCAGGGGCGCCTGGGTGGCTCAGTCGGTTAAGCGTCCGACTTCGGCTCAGGTCGTGATCTCGCGGTCCGTGAGTTCGAAGCCTCGCGATCGGGCTCTTGTGCTGACAGCCTGTATCTGGAGCCTGATTCTGTGTCTCCCTCTCTCTCTGACTCTCCCCCATTCATGCTCTGTCTCTCTCTGTCTCAAAAATAAATAAACGTTAAAAAAAATTTTTTTTAAAAAGAAAGAAGCTTGCAGAATATTAGGTACAGAACCATTTGTGTGAATAAAGGCAAACACTACTATATAATTGCTTAGTGAAATTAATGCTTTGGCTAAGCCACTGCTCAAACCCAGGGGCTTAGCTGCCTGCTGGAGGGGTGGGGTGTGGGGGAGAGTTTAAGTGAAGGACTAGGGAGGAGAACTTCAAGCAAACTCTGGAATGTTAAATTTCCTAAAAAGAAAACATCTGAAGCAAACATACACGTTAAGATCGCCATTGTATTCTCTTCTGCGTGAAAACACACAAATGTGTGTTTTCACATCCTGGGTCCTTTACAGTTTTAGTTCAAGGTGGGGAAGCTTGTTCTGTATTGCTTTCACTTTCGAAAAGAGTTGGCTGGAGAAGGATTAAGGCCACATCTCCCTCAGTGACCTGGGCCACAGAGCGCCTGCCGCCGTCGCTTCTCTGGGATCGGACCTCCGTGGGCAATCAGCAGGCGGCAGGCGCGGCCCAGGCGGCGGCGGCGCGTCGCGCCAGCGCCGCCTCTGGCGGCGCGCGTCCTGGAGGCGCGGCGGCAGCCCGACGGCGCCCAGGCCCGGCAGGCGCAACCGTGGGGATGAACAATCGGCGCCGCCTGGCCGAGCTTTTGAGGGGCGTCCGCTTTCTTCTTCTTCTGAAAGGCTGGCGAAGGGTCCACCCTAGGGGAAACCAAATACGCGCCAGCGGAGACGTACAATGTTCTGCAGCTGCTGCGCGTTAAGATGGCTGCACCCGAAAAACTGTCACCGCTATCCATCATTAGGAGAATCAATGAAGTTAGACGAGGGTATCCGGCGAATGAGGCCACAAGCGTGGCGTGTGCCAGAGCCACTGCAAGGCCAGCGCTGACCTCCATCTTTGCGCCATAAATTTATCCTCCACAACATACAAAATACTTGCATCAACTTTACATGTGCCCCAAACACTAGATATAGTTGAGGGACAAATACGTGTCGTGAAAGTACAAAAATAGAGAGAGCAACGACAGATACCAAATTCAGGGGTGACTTCTGGAAGACACAGCGGGGGTGGGGGCAAGGTCAAGGATTTCACGGTATTACTGTATTTATTTTTTTTTTAATTTTTTTGTCAACGCTATTTATTTTTGGGACAGAGAGAGACAGTATACGAATGTATGAAAGGTGAGAGAGAGGTGGGAGACAGAATCGAAATAGGCCCAGGCTCTGAGCCATCAGCCCAGAGCCCGACAAGGCTCGAACTCACGGACCGTGAGATCGTGACCTGGTTGAAGTCGATCTATTAACCGATCATGCCACCCGAGCTTCTCTGTATACATTGTATTTAAAGTAATAGAGCTGGATGGTGGGTACCCAGGTGTCTGTGTCACCTGCTCTGCCTTCCAGAATGTTCGATGCCATTGTGCACACACACGGCAGAGCCCAGAGGCAAGGGGAAGAGCAAAGAGGCGGCCCCGAGGAGGAAGGAGCTGGAAGTTGCTCGAAGAACTGAAGGACACACACCCCTCACCCCCCGCACGGACGCACAGACAGAGAAGGCCTCGGCCTCGCAGGAGGCCTGAGAGGCAGACAGGGTCCAGCCAGCGGGGCATGACACAAAGGGGTATGTTTGATGCTCTGGAGGTGGAGGCACAGTGGGAGTTTTAAGCAGAGGCGTGTTGACATTGTGTCTGTTTTATGTTCTGAGTAGGTCACTTCTTTCTTCTGTGTGTGACACGCACGGGAGGCCAGAGCAGAGTCCGGGAAGAGAATTTAAGAGGCTTTCACAGCAGCGTAGGCAAAAACCGTGGAGGGTCCCCGGAGGCAGGGCCGGCGAGGACGGGGAGAGAAAGGGGGGGTCTGAGGCACACTTTGGAGAGGAGCCAGCGGAACTGGGGGCAAGATCAAGGTGACCCCAGAGTTTCTGTTGGAGTCATTGCTGGCGGTGTCTGCTGAGGCGAGGCCACCGAGGAGGAGGGGGGCAGGGGTGCTGCAAAGGGCGGTGGGCGTCTTGGTCCACTGCCACCAAGAAGGACAGGGTGCAGCAGGTGTCCGAGAGCTACCCAAGGGGAGGGGGAGAGGCTTCCCGTATATTCCAGCCTGAAGTCCACCCGCGAGGTCAGTCGGTCAGGGATTTGGGGGCCACCACGCGTTGTTTAAAGCCTTGGGACCCGGGGCACAGTCAGTTGAGAGGTGTGGCCAGCGGAGCCAGACCCTCCACGACGGGACGGGGCGTGACTCCAGCAGAGGACGCGGTAGACGTGGGCCACCCTGGGGAAGCCGGGCAGCGAAGGGAGGAGTGAGGTGGGGTGGGAGCTGGAAGGAGCGAGTGAGGCCAAGGGAGAGGCTGTCTCATCGGGGATGACGTCTGGGCGCCCCCGCACATCAGCACCGAGAGGGACGGGTGGCGGGAGGGAGGAGGATGAGATCCAAATTCTACGGATGCAGCCGAGCTGGGGTTCCTGTCTGACCCCGAATGCCACGCTCCTTCCCAAATATCTCCCGGCCTCTTGACGGCTTGTGCCTGCTCACCGGCATCCAGCCCGGGGCCCAGCGTGTGAAACCCTTCATCCACCGCCTCAAAGTACGCACGGCTTCCGGCCTTTCCGCTTCCATGTGGGGGCCGCGTCGGCCCAGGGAACTGGAGGAGAAAATGAGCAAACCGCAAAACATGAAGTCTGACCTATTTTATGCATTTTGTATAAATGTGTGAAATAGGTTATGTTTGACGGTGGTAAACAGAGAACCCAAAACAATCCAATTCATCACTTGAATTATGTCTGCTTTTCTTCTCCCATCTCCAGGGAAGAATGCAGCTCCGTCCATTCCCAGCCCCTTCTGAGCAGGGCTCCTCCCTACTTTCTTTCTTTTTATTTATTTTGGGAGGGGGGAGGAGCAGAGAGAGAAGGGGAGAGAGCGCGAGAATCCCAAGCAGGCCATCGCGGAGCCAGAGGCGGGGCTTGAACTCACAAACCATGAGATCATGACCTGAACAGATATCAGGAGTCGTAAGCTTAACGGACTGAGCCACCCGGGTGCCCGACCTACTTTCTAAGTCTGTTGTCGGTGACCCGAGGCTTCGGGTCCGGGCTGTCCTCCCTGGAGCACACCTGAACACCAGTCACGTGCTGCCAGGACCACACGGGCAAGGAAGAATGTCACAGGCATGCACGATGGATGGCAGAGCAGGGACAGAAGCTGCAGACTGAGTGGCAGACCCACCAGCGAGGAGCAAAGGTACTGAATTGTTTGGATGCTAGGCTCACTCAGGGTCAGCCAAGCACCCTTATGCTGGGGAATCTCACCTAAGATCCACTGATTTGGGAATAAGAGAAGGAGAGGGTGGGAAGGCCTGAAGGAGAGCCCGTGAGACCCCAGTTAGCAGCCCTCCCACCGCACCTGCACGGGAGCAGGGCCCCCCAGGGTCGGCTTCCCATCTCAGTCTCCACCCACAGCCACGCTCCATGCCAGACGCTGAGGGTACAGAAAAGCACGAGACAAACACAGCCATGCCCTCCGCAAGCCGGCAGTCCTGGGGACGTGCATGCGAGAGACCACGCATGCGGGATGGACGTGCTAAGAGCGGGGACAGGATGTATGTGCACCTGACCCAACCTGGGTGGGACACAGCGGTCAGGCTGGGGTTGTGTGAGAATGTTCTATAAACTGAAATCTGGGACGTTACCAGGATTTTAGCCAGACTGGCAGTGGGGGCAGGCGGTGGGTAAAGTACGAACAACAGAAATACAAAGCGTGTGCGCTCTCTCTCTCTCTCTACACACACACACACACACACACACACA